GTGCTCATATGCACCGACCCATCGGTAGTTCGGCACCGTGCGGCGCCACCGCCAGAATGCACTGCTCATGGGCCAAAATTAATGTTGGGCCGTCTACTTTTGACCAATGTCACCTATGTGATCACTTGATGGGCATACGCAATTTTAGTACAAGAAACAAATTTTCTGACATCATATTTGACTAAGTGACTTTGAGATGAACCGGTAAGAAAGGAACGTGCAAGGCTTATATTTTGCGTGAAAACTTGTGACCACTACCGTGAGGGGTTATTAGCTGGTACGCTCCCCAGGGATAAAAATGTCTTTTTTGCTTCTTCTTTTTTGCCTCATTTGCAAATTCTGTAAAACAATTTTTTGAGAAAAGTAAAACAATTTTTTTGAGGGGGCTAAATTTCAACCTGTCTCTCGTTGATTTTTAGAGACAACATTCAAATATTCCAACCGTCTCTAAAAAAGCTTTCTTTAACAGTGATTCTACATTGAACAACACATCACACTATCACATGGACACATCTCACATATACATGAACCTAAGAATACTAATAATTTCCATGAGCGAGAGCTGCGACACACCCGTAGACTCAGAGGATTTAATTCATCTCAAATTTTTGTCTTGGATGGTGTAAAGCAGCCCAGTATCAGATCCCACATGCCCTTCTTCACCTTGTGGCATCTTTTGCTTTGGGGAAGAATTTGACAGCTGAAAACGATGGAAGATGCTAAAAACACTTCTTATTAAACTGCACGAGCAGAGAATGCTGGGAGCCTTTGGTGCAGACAAGCAACACTCATGAGGTCCTCTTTATAGAGGTTCCACAATAGGTCAGTGGCTTAAAGGTTATTATACACAAGGGTTTAGGAAAAGAAATGGGAAACCACAAAAGTCATGGTACAGTATTTTTCTCTCACAACAAATTAGTCTGGCTTATCAGCTATGGTACAGTAATTTTCTCTCACAATAAATCAGTGAACAGTACTTTTCAGCCTAGATTTTCAGCGAAGCGAACTAAATAAACTATTCCAGGTGAGCCGCGCAGACGAGCACAATAAACTAATAATAATGGTGGCTCGGCCAGGTGCCTCACCTGCCTATAAATTTGAGATGAACAGGCCGGGCCGGTAAAGCCCGAACTTAATCCCCAAGGCTTATATTTTGCATTTAGCCGAAGTGCCCGACCGAAATGTATGCACCCGTTCAACAGGCGGCACAGCGTGCACGGTTGTCGGATCGCGAGGCGGGCGTGAGCCGTTGGATCGCCGGCGGCCCCCAGGATATCTCGCCGCCCGTCCGCTTCCCCCTCCCTCACTCGTAACCTTAGCCTCTCGCCCTCTCCTCTCCGACTCTCCCGCTCACTATGTCGCCGCAAATGCTCGCCAGAAACCCCTAGCTCTCGCTTTTGCCGAAAAGTTCGTAACTTGGGCTCCTCGGCGTCGTCACCATGGAGTCTTTTTTTGGGTAAGGGTGGATTTCGATGGCGGTGGTTCCCTCTTCTCCCTCTCCGCCCTCAATCTCCCTCTTCTCCCTCGATCCAGTGGTTCCGGCCCTCGGTCTCCATTTGTTCCCTTATTCTTCATCCACGAGCGTCGATTGAGCCTCGTTCTCGGCATACTCACGCCTGATCTCCGTCATCGTCGTCCATATCCATATCTGGCTGGCCGATTCTACGATTGTACAAGGGGTGTGCAATCGGTCCGTCCATCTCATCACACACGGGGCTCGGCCATAGAGTAAGGGTAAACCCTAATCGAACCCTAACCCTAACCCAAACCCTAATCCCCAACCTAAGAATGTTGATTGTGGCGGCCGTCGATGAACCGGAGGAGACGGCAGAGAGCAAGCGCCGGGCGACAGACGATGGGGAGTTTGACCCTCCCGAGAGCGGCGAGCTGCGTATGTGCGGAATGGCGGATCTCACGATGATGTCCGCGAGGGACGTTGCGTGCTCTTGGCCGTTCGTCAGCGATCCCCTTCCGTCGACGACTCAGACCCCCGGCCGGCGTGGTGGTCGATCGACGGGTGGCGCAGAGCGAGGTTAGCCACTGCCGGTTCTATCGCCCTTCCACATCTACATGGGGAGAACTTTGAGAAGCACTACAAACCGAGAAAGGTAGAAAGATGCCTTTGCCACTTGCCTTCATTTAGCGCTTACTCTACTTAATGCACGAGGCTTTGGGCATCTTACTGACATCTTGCTAAGTGTCCTAAGAAACTTGAGAAGACCGGGGCATGACTCGAGACTCATATTGAGGTCCTCGTTGTTATACAGTCTTTGAGGTAGCTCGTGTTGAACTTGTTCGTATGTTTGCTAGATTGGACCTACCTCTTATGATTGGTGGTGAAACCGAGGCATTTAAAGATTATATTAAAGCTGCTCATAACCCTAAATGTCTCTAAGCAAACCACTTTGGTAGAGATCATTTAAATACTACAATGAGAAACGTGATAAAGCGATGGTCATTTAAAGGATAATCTTTGTTTCATCTGTTGCTATTACCTCGGATATATGGTCTGAAAAGGCTAAAGAAGATTATTTATCTATTGTGGCTCATTTCATTAATGCTGATAGGCAATTAGAGAAAATGGTACTTGGTTTAAGGTTGATTGATGTGTCCCATAATGCTGAGAACATTGCTGAGCGTGTTGCATCTGTCCTTGCTGAGTATGGTATACTTAACAAGGTTTTTTCTGTAACTTTGGATAATGCATCTACAAATAAAAATGCTATGGATAAACTGAAACCTATACTTAAAGAATATTTGGGTTCTGATCTATTTTTGCATCAACGATGTGCTTGTCATATTATTAACCTGATTGTGAAAGAAGCACTGGCTGCTGTGAATCCTCTCATTGAGGATTTTAGAACAACAATCTCTTTTATGAACTCCTCTAATCAAAGAATTGCTGCATACAAGAGTTATTGCATTGCTAGTGGTGTCAGACCTAGGAAGTTTGGATTAGACATGGATGTTATATGGAACTCTACCTACCTAATACTTAAGCACTTGCTGTCTCGTAAGAGTACTTTCAGTACTTTCATTGAGGCCAATTACCCAAGAGGTTCAGGTAGTGGTTTTCTTTTGACTGATGATCACTGGGCTATGGCAAAAAAAATCTTGGAATTTCTTAAACTGTTCTATGACTCAACTGTTGATTTGTCTGGTGTTTACTATCCTACTTCTCCACTTATGATTTATCATCTTGTTAAGATTGCTATACACCTGCATAGGTATCAACATGATGAACATCTAAGATCTGTTATCCAACCTATGATTAACAAATACAATAAGTCTTGGAAGTGATCTTTATTCTATTGCATTCATATTGGACCCAAGAGCTAAAATTAAGGGATTTACCAAAGTGCTTAGGAAGTTATATTCTCTTTTTTAATATTGACTACACTAATAAGTTGTTGGACACGAGCTCTTACATTTAAAATGTATAATTGGTATGATGTAACTGGCTCTAATAAATTTGAAAAGGGTTGTTCCTCCATCCACATGCAGTAAGAAAAGAAACTTCAGGCTGAAATTTATGATGATGAGGAGTTGGATGTTGGAGCTGGTTGTTCTTCCCTCCCTTCTAGTCTTGATCATTCTAGGACAACATATACTTCCTTGTCTGCTGACGAATCGCTAGTTCTAACTCTAGTGAACTTGCATCCTACGGGACTGTGACACAAATAAGCCAGTTGGATGATGAGTTTAACATCATCTTGATGATGGCATGAGCACAAGCTTACTTATTCAAGACTTTTCAAACGTTCTTGCTAAAGATATTTTTGATGGTACTGTATCAACTATTTCTTGAGTCTACTTTTAGCTTAACTAGCGAGGATCATCGAGGAGGCGGCGGCGGAGGTGAACCAGAAGCCAGAGAGCGCTTACTGCATCAAGGATTGGAAGAATCTTTGAGACAAGACTACAGACACATGGTGGAGGACAAGGAGTGGAAGAGGCCTTTCTTTGGTCTTTATCTTGATGTCGACTAGTTCACTCTCTATTTATGTAATGGTTACGTAATAAGCGAGACTTGGACTTGTGGTGATAGATGTAATGAACAATTAATCTAGGAGCTGGTGTGTACACTTTTCTGTTTAGGGTTTCTCACAAGGATGAGTTTTACCTAAACAGGTTTTTAATGAGCTGACCATTGCCAACGTGGCTTAAATTAGTTTTAGTTTTAAAAGTTTGTGTTCTTTCTTTGTCTTTTGTGTCTCGATCTGCCCTTCTTTTTTTTATCTTTTGTAAACTTAGTCATTTTAGATCTCTTTGAATTGTTGTCTTTGAGTTCATTGAGGGCGGTTTAGTGGCCTTGACGTCGACGAGTCGGCATGGCACGAGCGCCTCGAAATGATAGTGCGTGCTCGAGCCTGAAGGAGGCATGCTCTCTTTGCACGGCTAGCACGGTTTATCGCCGTGCCTAGCGTGCCGTGCAGCTCGGGAGAGTACCGTGTAGTGCCGTGCGGGCACGTTTGGAAAACTATACACCTGCCACGAGTCCATGCCTTACAGCGACGTCAGTCCAAGTGTGTTTTTTTTTAGGGAAGTCAGTCCAAGCTGCTTAGCTGCTGCTACGCCCTTAATCTTTTTCCCGTTCAATTATTGAAACGCAAGCCCATGTGGCCATGTGACTAGCTTCTTCCTTAAGCTAATGCAATTATTGAACCACAACAGAGTAACCCGCATCGACCTCCACAACATATACTACTACTAGTACTGTAGGGTTCATCCACTCAAACATCCAGCTTCTAATCTCGTCCAGTGACCAAGACAGAGGTTCGTTGCTGGCCAGTGCGTGAGAAGAAATAAAATCGATCCATGGAGTCTGACAAGGTGCAAGTGATAGAGTCATCCTTGGTGGCGCCGAGAGAGGCGACGCCGACAAAGGGGCTCTGGCTCTCTCCCATCGACCTCGAGGCCACCGCAGGCCACATCCACTACTAGTCTTCTTCTACAGTCCCGGCGCTGCCTTTTCCAACGTGGCCAGGCTCAAGGAGGCGATGGCCAGGGCCTTGGTGGCCTTCTACCCTCTGGCCGGCCGCCTTGGCGTCGACGAGGACGGCGACGGTGCTGCCATAGAGCTCCCCATCCACGACCGCGCTCTTCTCCGTCCACGGTCCCCGCCTGTGGTCCACCCGGACGCGCTCTCCGTGTTGTACTCCAGGGCCGCCTTGTGTGAACCGTCGGGACGACCAAACGCCGTCGAGGTGTTTCCCATCTCCAGGGACCAGCTGGTCACCCTAAAGCGCCTCTGCGGGGGGCAAGCACCTTCTGCTCCGTGAGCGCCCTGGTGTGGCAGTGCGCGGCCGTCGCGCGGTGGCTTCCCCCCGACGCCGTCGCACGCCTCACCTTCCCGGTCAACATCCGACGGCGAGGGGTGAGGCCGCCGCTCCCGGCCCGCTACTTCGGCAAAGCGTTGGTCGAGCTGTGCACAGCCGGCGCGGCACGTGAGATCGCCTCGGAGGCGCTGGCATCTGTTGCCTACCGCGTCAGCCGCGCCCTCGCGACGCTGGACGACGACGGCGAGCTGGTGCGGTCTGCGATCGATTATCTCGAGCTGTTCCAGACGGGCAGCCGGCCGGTGAGGGGCAGCATGCTGGAGACGGAGCTTCGGGTAATCAGCTGGCTCAACCTGCCGGCGTACGACGCGGATTTCGGCTGCGGGCGTCCAAGGTGGATGTCACGGGCGGAGTCCGTCCGCGGCGGGTTCGTGATTATCATGAACAATGGTCCCCAAGAGCACGACGCCGTCCGCGTCATCATGTGCATGGAGGCTGCAAACATCAACGAGTTCGGACTGCTGCTTTACGCCAGCATTGCAAACCACGCATCAAAGCTCTAGCCAGCTACCTGCTTCATGCTATGCTACCTGTGGTTAGTAGCAGGTAGCAGCGCACACACGCAGGGGCTGCGAGCATGCTTATAATGGTTTCAATAAGTACCTTTTGTCAGCGACGACCGTTGCTTTCACAGGCATGGTTAATGGTCTCAATAATCTTTTATCAGTGTGACGCCGGAATAAAATGTGTGATTTTCATTGTCAATCCAGCCAACAGGAATCATATATTAATTAATTGTCAATCCAGCCAACACAAAAATTAATTGTGGCTCTGCGCGTGCCGGGAAGCCCGTGGCGCGGGCCTGCAGCTCTGAGGCTTGCCCACTGCCCCGGTTTGGTGGCGCGTCCTACTGTTCTGCGCGAGCTGTCAAAGGCTCAAGCAGTGGGAACGTGTTACGGCTGAGCCCTTGGAGCCGCGGCGGTCGGCGTGTCCGTGCCCCTGGGAACCGTCGTGTGGCACCGCTGTGCTATCTCGGAGAAGACGGCGTATTGTTGTGCTTTGGACTTTTAGTCCTGTTTATGAGAAGACGGCCTACGGTTCAGGTGTTCGTGGAGCCTTAGGCGAAAGCCGTGCACAAGGCATCGGTGCTATCGACAGCGACGCCTAACCTCCTTATTGGAGGCGTCGTTGTAGCCTCTCTACCCTTGTAATTGTTGTTGTACGGTACCTCTGGGTGAAAACCTAGCACATTTCCGAGAACTCTATCAAACATGCCCTAATAAAGCATACGTTAAGGGCAAGTTGTTACTCGTTTAAGTCTAGCACATTTCCGAGAAAGAGAGGCACGGACATAGTGTGTGCTTTACCGAGGCATAGTGTGTGCTTTACCGAGTTGAGTGCCAACTGGGATGATTGGATGAACATTTCTTTTTTAATCATCAAACGATGGACTGATATGTGAATCGATGCATAATTGATAATACTACGTACATCCAAGCTTTTACACACAACCATATGAAGTGTCCGACAATGATCCATCCGGAATTACACTAGCTAGACTTAGCTTTCAGCGGGTACCACTGATGCACAAAACACGTTTACCAATTACCATGCAAGAGAGAAAACGAACCATATGCAAGATGATGCTCCAATTGCATCTTTATGCAGACACTCCCATGACCTAGCTACGACATCGACCATGGCTACATAAGGTACGTACTGATCTTTATGCAGAATTACAGCAGAAGCAGCAGCAGAGCTTCAAGATGCCGTTGATAATTCCTCCGCGTTTCGGCGCCGGCTTGCTCGGCGGCCTCTGCCTCGCGGTCGTGGAGTCGTCTCCCATGCGGCCCGACGACCCCTGAACTCCCTCCATCATCAACGAACTAGGCAACTAATGACACGCACAAGCTCACACGACACCAAACCAACTTGAGTAGTTGAGCTACTTAACTCTCTACGCCGGGAGCGTAGCTTAACTCGAACGGTCGGATACCATATTTATACACGGTTTCCTTGGCATTTTTACCACAAATGTGGAGACATTTTCACGCCTGTTTCGTGGTACAAGCAGGAGAAAATGCCCAGCCCTGGGACGTACCGACGCCGCAGGAGAGATCCTTACGTATTGGTGCCTTTCGGAAAGGAAGTGGCCGCTTGATCGAGCCGATCGATCACAGAGGAGCCCTTTTTATACCACTCACAAATGCAAGGTAAGTTCTCAGGTTTTGGTGTGTGCCTTCGCCAACAGGTCACAGCCAACAAAAATCCAAAACGGTCTCTGTACACGCATGCAAAGGTTCATATTTTTTCTTTCCCTCATCATCAACGAGCAAGGGTTCAAATCTGGCGATCGATCGAGCTGTAGTGATCGTGTGCACGACGCACGACGCATCATTTCTTACCCCATCACGAAGTAGTGCAAGCAAATTGTTCTGACGGTAGCTTTACAGTGGGGCCCACCAAATCTTGACGCTGCTTGGTCCCATACGTCAGTTTGCCGAGGTCAGCGCCACACGTTAAGGCTCCATTCAGTATCAGGTTGTCGCGAATTAAAGATGGTGATTTTTCTCATTTCACGAGTGGGCGCATGCACGTCTCGCCTCGGAAAGCTCTCTTTGCAAACAAAGAGTCGCTCAAATGGTGCTCGATAACGCCAAATCAGGTACTCCTAGGTCGAACTCAGAACTCCTCGTAGTAGATCGGCTCCGCGACCGCCTGTTAGACAAATTGTATGCTCGGTGTCTAGGTTCATCCCTCCTTGTGCTAGCGTCCATGTTAGTTTGGATAGACTAGCATGTATATCTTGTATCTCAAGTGTCTTATAATCCAAGTTGCAGAGGATAGATCTCCTCCTGAGTTCGGTTGAGATCTTCTTGTTTTTAAACGCCACACTGGGGGCTATTCCTGTGTACTATAAACATGCAACCGAGGCCCAAGGGAAGGGTACCTCGTTCCACCATTTCTCACATGGTATTAAGAGCCTTTCTCCTCACGGAACTCTCCCGTGGCGCTAAGTCCATCCTCTTCCGCGGCATCTGTTGTTCCATCACTCGTCACCTTCCTGCCGGTGAGCGAGAAGCTCACCCGCGCCAACCACCCGTCATGGAAAGCTCAAGTGATCTCAGCCCTAAAAGGCGCACGACTCATTAGCTTCATTTCTCCCTCCTCCAGCCCACCGGCGCAGTTTGTGCCACCGAAGGGCAACGGCGACAACAAGGAGCCACTGGTTGTCAACCCGGACCACGAGACATGGGTGGCCAAGGATGGTCAGGTACTCAACTACCTGCTGACCAGCCTGTCGAAGGAGATCCTCGGCCAAGTCAACTCGAAGGACACAACTGCCAAGGCATGGGCAGCCATTGAGGGCATGTTTGCCTCTTAATCCCGTGCCCGCATCATCAGTACAAGAATGGTGCTGGCAACGGCGTCTAAGGGCACCTCCTCGATCAGTGAGTATTTTACTAAAACGAAAGGACTGGCAGATGAGATGGCATCTGTTGGTCGCAAGCTGGAAGATGAGGAATTGGTTTCCTATATCCTAACCGGGCTGGACCTCGAGTTCAACCCCGTTGTTTCTACTGTTACCGCTAGAGTTGAACCCATTACGGTGGGGGAACTCTTCACCCAGCTCACCAGCTTCGAGCAGCGCATGGAACTCCACGAAGGCGGAGGCGGAGGCGGAGGCAGCTTCCAGTCGTCGGCCAATCTGGCTGCGAAAGGTGGTCACGGCGGCGGCCACGGCAACCACAATTCCCGTGGTGGCCGTGGTGGTTTTAGCCGCCGCGGCTCAGGACGTGGACAGCGCGGCGGCCGCGGTGGTGTCCGTCCACAAGGAGGCGGCTTCCAAGCTGGCGTCTTCTGATAGCTGTGCGGGAAGGAAGGGCACACCGTTCTTCGCTGCTTCAAGAGGTTTGACACCTCTTTCACTGGGCCACCCCAGAAGTTGGCCTCATCTGCTACGACGTCGTATGGTGTAGATACAAACTGGTATATGGATACCGGTGCAACTAATCACATCACTAGTGATCTGGAAAGGTTGACGGTACGCGACAAGTACCATGGAGCAGATCAAGTCCACGCCGCCAATGGGTCAAGTATGGAGATCACTCATGTCGGTCATAGCTTATTGCGCTCCCCTACTAGCAATATTCATCTTAAAAATATTCTTCATGTTCCTAAAGCCAATAAAAACCTTCTTTCTGTTCATTGCCTTACAAGTGATAATGGTGTTTTTCTTGAATTTCATCCAAAACATTTCGCTATAAAGGAGGAGGAGACGAGGAGAACCCTCCTTAGAGGCAGGTGTGAAGGAGGCCTCTACCCGCTGCGATCATCCCCGAATAAGTCGTCCTTGAATAAGCAAGCTCTCGGCGTTGTTAGACCGACCACTTCCTTGTGGCACCATAGGCTAGGTCGTGCCTCCACTCAAGTAGTCCAGCAGGTCCTTAGTCATCACAAGCTTTCATTTGTTAAAGACTTGAATAAAGATCATCTGTGTAATGCATGTCAGCAAGGCAAATCCCATCAGTTGCCTTATCCGCAGTCTACAAGTGTATCAGCTAGGCCATTAGATCTCATTTTCTCAGATGTATGGGGACCGGCACCACCATCTGTTGGACGACACAATTATTATGTTAGTTTTATAGATGATCATAGCAAATTTGTTTGGATTATCTCCTGCATCATAAGTCTGAAGTTTTCCAATGTTTTCGTAATTTTCAAAATCTTGTGAACGACAATTTGACTGCAAGATTTTAGTTGTTCAGATAGATTGGGGAGGGGAGTATCGTTCACTAAACTATTTTTTCCAGCGCATAGGAATTTCCCATCATGTCTCATGCCCTCATGCGCACCAACAGAACGGCTCCGCGGAACGCAAACATAGGCACATAGTGGAGGTCGGTCTTACTCTTTTAGCCCATGCATCCATGCCTCTTAAATTTTGGGATGAAGCATTCCTTACCGCTGTTTTTATTATTAATCGACTCCCTTCCAAGGTTATTGGCAATGAAACCCTCTTTGCTCGCCTCTTTGGTCAAGATCCAGACTACATTTCCCTTCGTACTTTTGGCTGTGCTTGCTGGCCAAATTTGCGTCCATACAAGTCTAGAAAGTTACAATATCGATCTAAACAGTGTGTCTTTCTAGGCTATAGCAATTTTCACAAAGGCTTTAAAGTGTCTTGATCCTGGCAAGGGGCAGATTTATATCTCTAGGGATGTAGTATTTGATGAGCATGTGTTTCCCTTTGCTTCGCTACACCCTAATGCCGGAGCTTGACTCAAGGCTGAACTTCGCCTTTTACTCGTGTTGAATTCTTCTACTAATCTTGGGGATGCCAATTTGTTTGACCGTACCATGAGTTCTCATGTACCTACTAATCCTACTTTACCTGTTGCTGGAGCCTTGCTGCCTACAGGATTAAATTTGGAGCAAGAAACCAGAAATTCGAATGTACACGATGACTTATATCGCATGTGTCACCCAGGAGGGGGCAGCACGCATGCCGGAGTTGATACGCCTGTGCACGATTCGGGCAGCAGCGGCGCATCTACTTCGG